AGGTTGCTGTGAGCTGTGTGATGCCTAAGCCCAGGAGTTGGAGGTTGCTGTGAGCTGTGATGCCACAGCACTCTACCGAAGGCGATAAAGTGAGACTCTGCCTCTACAAAAAAATAAATTATGTTCCTAAATTTCAAGAATGTAGGACAACAAATAAACCTAAGAAATTCATAAATTTATTAATTGTCTGCTGAAGAATACGTAGGGCCACGCAGACCAGGTCTACAGAATATACAGAGGTAAGTGACAAAAGTTTTCAGCAATAAGCATCAATAACATAAGCCAAATCGAAGCTATTTTCCTCCAAAAATTGTTTTTTATCTAAATAATCCAAAAATGTACTCCTTATACATCAACTAAAAGTTTCTGCTGTCGTCAACCATCACCAAGTACTCTGCAGAGTTGTATATTTGCAATTGGTGCTCATCTTTTTCTGCTACCCTGTTCGCTAAAATGATTGCTGATCAGCTATGTTCAGAAGGGACTAGCAAGCTATTTTGTCTTGTTTTATTCTTACCCTCTCTAGAAACTGCATGAACTTTCAGGGCTGGCAGTGGCCTTTTGGGAACTGTTACTGCAGCCAGCAGCTTACTTAGGGTATGGTCCCTGGCTCGTGATCACTGAAATTGGAGCTGCAAGCTGAGATGCTCCAGGAACTAGATATAAAAGGAAACAGCCCCCTCGCTGGTCTCCAAACCCTTGGGATTAATAGAACAGTATTCTCTCCACAGCCTTCCTAACGTCTACTAAAATGCTAGTGAAAGTATCAATCCCAGACAGACACTACAGGTTCAGGCCTTAAAGACAAAGCCTGAACCACCACCAAGGAGTGAGTCACTCTGCTATTCCAATTTTTTAAGGCAGTTCTAACCTGCACAGAAAGGAGGCAGGATTGGAGGGGTGGATGGTCTCAAGGAAATCAGACAAAGCAATACTCTTAGCTCCTATTTGTGGGCTGTTTGAACTCCTGGAGCTTCTATAATTGTGGCCTTAGAGAAGTCTGCCTTGGTCGATGTGACATCATTTTCCTCATTTAATAGTATTACACTTGCTGACTTTGTACTTTCAGTCTGGTTATATCCAGGAGTCATTTTAGCCATCTGGTTCATCATCAGCTCTGAGCACTGTTATACAAAGTGTCGATTATTTGCAACTTTAAATTAGTTTAAGTTGCAGAAACACTCCAAAAAATTTACAAAGTCCGAGATTCTATAGCAATGAAATGCAACCAAATGACACGTTAGGAACTCTAGCATCACGCACGCCTCTCTGTCCTGAAGTCCCTCTCACGCCAGCTCTCCGGATTACACCACTCACATGCTTTTTCAACACCATGAAAACAAATGCGGAAGACAAAGGGCACACACACTACTGCAGAGCCACAGATCACTTACGGCACAAAAAAGAAATTTAAGGCCAACACTTGGCCATTACCAGCTCTTCCTTGCAATCCTGGGTTAGTTATTCAGAAACCAGTCTAGGAAGAAAGCCCCACAGAGGCCACCAGACACCTACCGCTATGGACCCAGAAGATGTAGCAACAAACACTTTGATAACCATTTCGAAAGTCGGAAACAGGACTCCCCCCAACACACCCCTGTTAGGGAACACGTTGCTAGACAAATCCTGACAGTGACGCGGGCGAGCAAGTGCCAGGGCGGAGCTGGCGGCGACCCAGGGCTCCACTGAGCTCCTGCCCTCCTGCTCCAGCTTAAGAGGCTCTGCGTCCCAGAGGAGCAGCAGAGTTATCTTGGGCTTCCCCCTCCATTGGCCCGGGAATATTTTGGGATCTGTCAGAAAAATACTTGATTGGTTGATAAAAGCAGCCACTGGACCCTTCCCGTATCACTTTAAATGCTCGATACCAGTCCCTAAAAGGCCAGGCTGAGCTGCTCACCAATCAGAGACCCGTGCAGAGATGCCTTGGGGCACAGGGAGGTGGGGCCGGGTAACCGAGGAGCCCAGGCAGAAAAAAAAGGGAGGGAGGAGCTCTTTGAGGCTGGAGAAGCCGAGAAGACTCCACCACCGCGGTCCAGGGGAGGATGGGTTTGCAGCGGGTTTGGTAAACAAAGAGGAGGGGTCAGAAGAGCTGCAGAGGCCCTTAAAGAGCAGCTTCCTTGTTTTAAAATCTTCTGGCAGATTAAAAAAACAGTTTGCCGAACTGTCATACAATAGAAATTCCTTTATGAGGCTCAGCGTCTATGGCTATGGCCACATCCACTAGGGCTGGGTATTCAAACCCCGCCTGGGCCTGCCAAACAACACAACTACAACTACAACAAAAACAACAAAAATTACCGGGCATTGTGGCCGGTGCCTGTAGTCGCAGCTACTTGGGAGACTGAGGCAAGAGAATCGCATAAGCCCAAGAGTTTGAGGTTGCTGTTAGCTGTGATGCCACAGTATTCCACGGAGGGGAGGGCGACATATGGAGACTATCCTCTCAAAAGAAATTCCTCTGTGAGTGGCCAGTTTCCACTTTTACTACCTGCTTCTCTCTTGACCAGCCATGGGCCATGTAAAGTTTCACTGACTTCCCCTAGGCCAGGCAAGGAACCAGCAGCTGGCTTTGGGGCACTGAGGACTGGAACAAGCAAACTGTCCTATTTTAAAGATTTTGATTAGGGGGAGAATGACCTGTTTATAATTGACTCAATCCTGTCTTATTTATTCAGATAATTTGAATTGTGTTAGAAGAAATACAAATCTAAAAAAGAAGCTCAAATGCTAGCTGCCCAAACTCTTCTGATGGGTTTCAAAGTCAAGATCAAGGGCATTAAAGGCCTGGTTTTTCAAGAAGCATCTGGGGGATGTTCAGTACTCTAAGATACCTGAGTCTTGGTCTCTCTCTCCCTCTCTCTCTCTCCCACAACCAGGGAGGGATCTCCCTGGCTTCTGCACCCACCGTGTTAACCTATTCCCAGCCCCTCCTCCTCAAGTAAGTCCCTATGATGACAAAGGACTCCCCAGTGCCCAGAATACAACATCATGATGAATAATTACAAGGACTACCAAAATTTAACTTTTGGCTTCAACATGCAGAGTTAACTACACGAAAAATTAGGTCCTTGTTGAAGATGATTAATGGTTCTCAAAATTTAACTCACTAGAATTGTAAATTTTATTTAAAGCCCACCAAAGATCAGAGATCATTTTTACCTTTATTATTTTCTGTATTATCAAAATTCCTATGATAGCTACTATTTTTTTCATACAAAAAATTATTAGGGCGGCACCTGTGGCTCAGTGGGTAGGGCACTCGCTCCATATACTGAGGGTGGCGGTGATCTTCAAACCCAGCCTCGGCCAAACTGCAACACAAAATAGCTCGGCATTGTGGCAGGCACCTGTAGTCCCAGCTACTCAGAAGGCTGAGGCAAGAGCATCGCCTAAGCCCATGAGCTGGAGGTTGCTGTAAGCTGTGACGACACAGCACTCTATCAAGGGTGATAAAGTGAGACTCTGTCTCTAAAAAAAAAAAAAGTAGGGCAGCTTCTGTGTTTCAAAGGAGTAGGGCGCTGACCCCATATACTGAAGGTGGTGGGTTCAAACCTGGCCCGGGCCAAAAAAAAAAGAAAAAAATTATTAAAGTCTGACACATAAGCATGCTATTTTTTCCCCAAATATTACTAAAGAAAGTAATAAACTAGGGCTTTGTAAATTAGTAACATAAACTACAGCTGGATTCTCATGTATTCTAGAAAATACATATCCACTGATCAGATAAGGTAAAAACTTCATTAGTAAGGACACCTCCTCCATCTGTAAGCCCTGGGGAGAAGTAAATTTCCTCATGAACTAACAGCTAACAATTTTGACATGTTTTTCCTGTGCTTCGGTACAACTGCCCTAAAACTGGATTACACCAATATCCCTACTTACAATGAAGACACAGAACTAGAATGATGGAACAGGAAATGGCACATCCAGAAACCGAACCCGACCCATTTCTCTCCATCCCACATAAGAGAAGCTCCTCAGAGGCTACTCTCAAATTCCTAGTGCTCCCTCTTTTCACTATTGTTTTTTAAGCTTATCATTTCAAAAATGACCATTAAAAAATTTTTTAAAAATAGGGCGGCATCTGTGGCTCAAAGGAGTAGGGCGCCAGCCCCATATTCTGGAGGTGCCAGGTTCAAACCCGGCCCCAGCCAAAAAACTGCAAAAAAAAAAAATTTAATTTAATTTAAAAATCAAAATGACCATTAAAATATACAAATTAGAAATTTGAAAACTCTAGCTGAAAGATCACTTTTAATATATTACAGTGACACAATGAGCTTCAAGATAATTAGGAATACCAAACATTCCCATTGAGTCTCAAAATGAAACTCAATGGTTCTCTGACTTATAAAATCCACTGCAGAAAGCAGCCATGTAATCTAGAAAAGATGCAGGCCACCAACTATTTAACATCTCTAATACACGTATGTGCCATGTGAGTCAAAGAACACTTTTTGACTTGGCTAATTTTTCTTAGAAAAGCATGTGGTATTGGCTACAAACTTCACAGAGATTCCCCAAGTGATCGTATAATAAATGATACCAGACATTATATTTTGATTTACATAACTTTATGGGTAAACTGACAAATAAAGGGATACATTTATTATATAGAATGATGGGAGTGAATACCATAATTACCATAGTGGGTTGAATAATGTGCCCCCAAATTTGAGTTCACCAAAACCTCAGTATGTGACTTTATTTGGAAATAGGGTTTTTGCAGATGTGAGTAGTTGGCAATCTTGTGATGAAATCACCCTGGATTTAGGGTGAACCACATATCCAATGACTGGTGTCCTTATATAAAGAGAAGACACACAGACACACAGAGAAATGTACCATGTAAAGATGGACGCAGAAATGGAAGTGATTCTGGAGGAGTCAAAGAATTCTCCCTAAGGACCGTTAGAGGGAATAAGGACTTGCAGACATCCTGATTTCATACTTCTGACCTCCAGAAATGTGAAAGTATAAAGTTGTACTGTTCTAAGCCACTAAGTTTGTACTAATTTGTTACCGCATCCCTAGGAAACTAATACAGAGAAATAAAGGCATACGTTTACTATTCGGCATGATGAAGATGACCACCATAACAAAAAGGCCATTGCTTTAACTGTGTACATAAAGGGACTCTTCTTCCATATGCACCAGACAGGAAAGGACACCTCCTTCAAAATAAAAGCAAGGACTATTCATTTTGAAACAGAAAGTTTTTGTGTTTTTTTTTTTTTTTTTTTGAGACAGAGTCTCAAGATGTTGCCCTTGGTAGAATGCAGTGGCATCATAGCTCACAGCAATGTCCAACTCTTGGACTCAAGGGATCGTCTTGCCTCAGTTTTTCTATTTTTAGTAGAGTTGGGGTCTCTCTTTTGCTCAGGCTGGTCTCATGAGCTCGAGCTATCCACCCACCTCGGCCTCCCAGAGTGCTAAGATTACAGGCATGAATGCCAGGCCAAACATAAAGATTCTTATTTATTATACTTGCAGAGACTGGAAAAAGCTGGCAGACAAAAGAGAAGGTGGCTATTCAGACACAAAAAGGAAGTGCTAAGGACCCCCACCTCCCAGTTCCTCCAGTCCTAAGCACCAGGGTTGGAATTTCCCTCAACAACTGTTCCTGTTGTTACTGCCATAGGAGCACCACAAACCAAAATCGGCTCATCTTGCCAGGAATGTCAGGTCTAGGATGACACTTGTCTAATGTCTGGCCTCTGGAGATGGTGCCCAGTCCACCATCACTATTAAAAACAACTAGCATGTGTCTTACATGGGTAACTCCTCACCTAAGGTTATAGAAATGTATGGCACTCTATTAGCTGATGGAGGAAAGAATGATGGAGAGAAAGCTTGTTCCAACCCAGCCTTCTCAAAGTAAAATTAAACTGTTTGAAGAGGAATGTCCACCGCTCTATACTATAAAACCAAATTCAGAACCTATTAAGGAAAATGTGCTAAATATGAGTATACATGATACCAAAACACATTGTAAATAGAATCAAAGGTAATTGACAAATACAGGAAGTATTTGCAACATACATATCACAAACCACATTTTCATCATTTAAGTTCTTACAAGTCAATTTTTACAAAGATAAAAGCCAAGTTTAAAAAAGAGAAAAGGGCAAGAAAAGGCAAACCACAAAATAAAGACAAATGCCACTAAAAAGAAGAAAAGATATCCCTCTTACTAACAAAAAGGGAATACAATTAAAGATGCCAATTTTTAACAATAAAACGGGCACCAAAAAATTTAAAGAGAGAAAAAGACTTTCCATTGCAGGTCAATATTGAAACATTTGCCAAGAAGGCAAATTCTGTCTACCTTCAAAAACCCTTGAAGTGGGCATATGGTTTGACCTTGCAACTTCACGTGTAGCCATTTATCCCAAGGAGTTAAGGGTGGACTCAAAGATTCATCTGCAAGATTATTCACCATGGCATTGTAACAATGACACACACACACAAATTTCAAGGGTTTGTAACTAAGCTACATTCTATGCAGTCATTAAAAAGCACTTATAACTCCATCGCCTGGGTGACTTTTTACTTTGTCTTTGTCTTTGCCCGTACATTTCTAAATTCTCTACACTAAACATTCATTGTTTTGTGATCAGATTTGGTTTCACACACACATACACACAAAGTCTTTATGAAAAGGGGATCATAGGGACACTCTGCTCTCGGTCCACCCTCTTCCCAGGAGTCTACACCTGCCTGCCCGCAGCAGGCCGGCCGGGTTCATTCGGGAAGAGCGCCCGAGCGCGTGAACGAACGTCTGGCAGCTCGCTCGTGGTGCGGCCAGGGACGAAGGCAGGGGCCCAGGCGCCGAGGAAGGACGGCGGGAGGCCCGCGTGCAGACTTCTACACCACCGACCCATTGCCCAGACCCCAAGAGGAGACCCAGGGCCAGACCCACTTCCCGGCCCAAGACGCGCTCCCACGCACGGGACGAGCAGGCCCGACTGCGCATGCGAACGCCGGCCCCGGCCGTTCCGTCCCAGACAGCCCTGCGCGTGGGTTTCCACGGCGACACGCCCGCGCCAGCTGTCTGGGTTGGCGCAGCCGCAGGAGCCGCGCGGAGCAGGTAACAGCCCGTCAGCGGTCTCTGCGGTCCCTCGCAGCCCACCAGTCGGACTAGCCCCGGTAGAGCCGCCTGCCACACTCTTCCTGGGCTTCCGGTGTTGCTTGGTCACTCATTCCTCTCCCCTGTCCACCTCACTGCCTGCCTCGCTGCTCACTCGGCGGGTAACGTAGCCAGGTCCCCCGCGTTTCTCCGGCAAAGCGCGACCAGGCGAGGAGCAGCCTTCCCTGCTGCAGAGTGTGACCCTGCGCCCCGACGACTCACACATTCGCGAATCCATCCAGCTCCGCCAGGCCTCGAAACCCGGGTCTGGGCGGCCCCGAGGTGACCGAGTGAGGACCGTGTGGTGTCCGGGTACGGCGAGGGGCAGGGCAGGCCCTAGGGGAGCCCATGGTTAGACGGCCGCCGCCTCCATCCCCACCGGGATGCTTTCGCCAGTATTTTCCTTTTACATCGACCCTTATGCCTTCTATTTTCCACCTGCTTATTTGCGGTTTTGGTTTGGTTTTCCCTTCTATCCTTAGCGCTGACATTTCCCTATCCCCAGCCTGTGGGAATCTGAGTCTTCTGCAGTGTCTTCTCTGGACATGTCCCTCCGTATGCTCACTCTGCCCATTCTTGGGGCTCTTTGTCCACAGTTTGTTTTCCCTTAATGCTTTAACATTTCGTTGCCAAACTTACGTCCACAGTTTACTTTTTTCAGAGCAGTTCTTCACGGCTGAACATGACCTTGAGCCTTTTTTCGATCTACATTCCCTAAATGAATTCATCCAGTCTCACGAACTTAGCCTGTCTAAATGCCAGGGAGCCCCAAATGTGTATCTCCAGCCCTGGTCCCTCCCTGGAACGCCAGCCACATGTATGTTCTCGGCTGGGTGCCGTGGCTCTGCTTAGATGTCTGAGGCATCTCAAGCCCATCTGGCCAAGACTGAGCTCCGGATAATCCCCTAACCCTGTTCTTCACACTCTTAAGCCAGCTTGGTTAGTGGAAACCCCATTTCTCCAGTTGCCCAGTCCTTGATGCTACTTGACTCTGGTTTTTCTCATTCCTCACATTCAATCTGTCAGCACTTCCTTCGAATCCTACCTAGAACAGATTCACAGTTCTACGGTTCCTTCCAACCCCCACCGTCAACACCCTCGTCTAGGCCACTATCTTCTGGTGGTTGGGTTATTTCATTTGCTTCCTAATTGGTTTCCCTGCTTATACCCTTCCCCCACGTGGGCAGGGACAGTCTTAGGCTATTTTCCTTTTCTCTGTTACTTCACAGGAGTAAGTTTTTTAAAGAGATTATATTAATTGGGGCTCACTTTGGTATGATAGAAAAGATTAGCATGGTCCCTGCCCAAGGGATGACACACAAATTCTTGGAACATTCCGTGCTTTTTAAAAAATAAAGGCCAGGCATGGTGGTTCACGCCTGTAATCCTAACACTCTGGGAGGCCGAGGTGGGTGGATTGCCTGAGTTTACAGATTCCAGGCCAACCTGAGCAAGAGTGAGACCTCGCCTCTAGAAATAGCTATGTTATGGCAGGTGCCTGTAGTCCCAGCTACTTGGGAGGCTGAGGCAAGAGAATCACTTGAGCCTGAGAGTCTGAGGTTGCTATGAGCTATGAAGCCATGGCACTCTATCAAGGGTGACAAACTAAGACTCTGTCTCAAAAAAATAAAAAATATATACAAAAATAAAAACTAAAAAGGGATTACACGAATTTTATAATCTTCATAGATTAAAATACAATATTTTTGGTATTTATTTTTAAAATTGCATCTTTTAAACAAGGTAAACAAGGCTTATAAGTATCTTGCTGTTAACAAGCTAAAAATTGAAAGATGCCCCTTAGCTTTCTGAGGTAAGGGTATGACAGTACCCCTAGAACAGAACTATAGGAAGAGCTTGAAAGCTGCATGTACTGAGAAGAAAAGAATCCAGAAGCTTCTTCTCCATGAGAAAAAGAAGTCATGCAGGAATTTAAGCTCTGTTCCCTATTGTTTATTTTATTTTTAGAGACAGAGTCTCACTTTGTCACCCTTTATAGAGTGCTGTGGCATCACAGCTCACAGCAACCTCCAGCTCTTGGGCTTAGGCAATTCTTTCACCTCAGCCTCCGGAGTAGCTGGGACTACAGGTGTCCGCCACAATGCCTGGCTATATTTTTTGTTGTTGTTGTAGTTTTGGCCAGGGGTAGGTTCAAACCCACCACTCATAGTATAGGGGGCCAGTGCCCTACTTACTGAACCACAGGTGCCGCCCCCTATTGTTTATTTTTTAGAGAAGCACCAAAAGAGGCCAATTGAGGTGTAGGTAAATGATTCTCCCTGTGCTGATCATTTTGATAGTAAGTACCTGTGTGCTGATACCTAGTCAGTGACCAAGCAGTGCAGTGGTCTGTGTGCACTGGCCCCAGTGTGTACTGACCCCAGTGAGCACTGACCCCAGTGAGCACTGGCCCCTGTGCATCTGCAGCCTTGTCAATCTCTTAATTCCCCGTCCTCCATTTTTTCTTTTTCTGTCAGGTAAAACCCCATTTGACCAAAGTGACAGAATAGGATTGCTGCAGTTTGCTGAGGATCTATAGGAGATTGTAGGTCATAAACCTCCACTTTTCTCAAATTTGATCTCCCACTTCCCCCTTGTGCTGTCACTTCATAGAGAAACTTGAAGCCATCAGATGGGAATTCCTCAATCTCCAGCTACCAACACTGCCAGCCTTCCCTTCCCATCTTATCTTCCTTCCTCCTCCTCCTCTCCAAGGCCACTCTGTCCCAGGCTTTGGATTCCATCCCTTTCCATTCATCAGAAACCCTGTGCTGAATGGATTAACAAGCTGTGGTATATGTGTGCCATGGAATACTATTCAGCCACTAAAAAAGATTGAGACTTTAGATCTTTTGTGTTAACCTGGATGGAGGTGGAACACGTTCTTCTTAGTAAAGCATCACAAGTAAATGGAGAAGCAAGGATCCAATGTACTCTATTCTAATACGAAGGCAGCAGATGAGCTGAAGCAAGGTGGGGGGCAGGGGAATGAGCAAGTGGGGAGAGGGAAGAAGGGTAGGGGATAGGGGTCACGGTGTATGGCACACCTCTTCGGGTCAGGACGTAATTATAAGGGACTTAATCTAAAAATGCAAAAAGTGTAACCTAATTCTTTGTACCCTCAATGAATCCCAAACAATAAAAATATATGTTTATATTTTTTTAAAAACCCTATGCTAGCAGTTATCCATTCTCTCTCCTGTATAATCCCCTGTTCCCTCTCAGTTCCTTGCCATGCTTTTAAATAGATTTGAGTCTCTCATCACAAAAGAAAGAAAAGAAAAAAGTCCCCCTTGACTCCACATTTCCCTTCAGTTTCCAAGTATTGTCCAACCCGTTATCCCCTTTGACAGGCATACTCGAAGGAATTGCTGTATTCAGTGCCATCTATTCCTTGTCTCTCTTCTTCAGCCAGTCTCGCTCTCCACTTCATCTCTGCTAAAACAAAACCACTATCACATCTCCAGGCCTCATCTTGCTCGTCTCTGAGCACCATTTAACACTGATGCACCCATCTTCCTCTTAAAAGGCTGTCTTCCCTGGGCTTCTGCAACCCTGCCTCCCATCTCATTGCTTCTGCTTTTCCTGCTGCCATCTGGCTCATCCTCTTCTCCCAGGATCCTTAATATTGGAGAGCCTCACAGCTGGAGTCTGTTACTCTTTTCTCCCCAGGCTGCCTTAGTCTAATACGAGGCACAGATTCATGCCCACAGCTTCAAGAGCCAGCTGTCTGCATTTTACCCCCAGCTTTATCTTTGCAGACGAACCTTCATATCTGAGCTAGACCTAAATGTTCAACTACCCGAACGACATCACTTCTTAATATCACTCAGACATCTCCAACTCAACATGCATGAGATCAAACAGTCCCACCACCTGACCCCCACTGGGACCTCTTCCACTGTAAGTAGGATTCCTCCTTGACCTCTCCCTCACCCTGGCATCCGCTGAATCATCAAGCCCACGTGATGTTGTCTCTTGGCATCTTTCATGTTTTCTCATTCTCACTGATACTTTTGTCCAAACTACTGCCTTCAGCTTTCTGTAGTCCTCTGCTGTCTGGACTCCCCACATCCCATCAGGCTTTATTCTGTTGCCCAGACATTGACTGGAAAATGAACATGTCTTAGATACCTTTACATATACATATGAGGTCTCACAATTAAGTTTGCAAACTTGCCACTGTGTGCTTACATTGGCAGCACTGTACAAAGAGCTTGATAAGGTTTCATAACCTTCCAGCTATCCACCAGTGGATAAAAACCACCATAACCTTACATAACTATAACAGCTGTCTCACAGCTGTGTTCATGTCAACATGTGGCAGTGTCTTGCTGAGTGGGGTTCATTATTGCTATTGCATGTTTTTCTGTGCTATACAATGGCCATTCCAGAAAATGTTCCAAAATTGCTTTGAAGAGGCTGAGCACAGTGGCTTTCGCCTATAATCCTAGCCCTCTGGGAGGCCGAGGCAGATGGATTGCCTGAGCTCAGGGGTTTGAGACCAGCCCAAGCCAGAGCAAGACCCCGTCTCTAAAAATAAAATAGCCGGGCGCTGTGGCAGGCACCTATAGTCCCAACTACTCATGAGGCTGAGGCAAGAGAACGGCTTGAGCCCAAGAGTTTGAGGTTGCTGTGAGTTATGACACCACGGCACTCTACCAAGGGCAACAAAGTGAGACTGTTGCAAAAAAAACAATCCAAAATTGCTATGAAGAGTGGACTATGCACTGGCAGCGGTGCCTAGCTTCCCAAGTGGAGGACTTCACAGGTGACCACAGTGATACGCAGCAATAGGTACATAGCATGAGTTCACAAACTTAATTGTCAGACCTTAGTAGCTACACAAACTGAAAGATGCCTCATTCTTGTATTTTTAAGCTATACCTTATCAGCATCATATTAGTCATGGTTATAGTAACAATAATATGTTTCATCTGATTCTTTAAATTTTGCTATTCTGGTGGATAAAAAATAAAATATAATTGTTTTGGTTTACATTTCTTTATGTACAAGCTTAAAAATCGTATGTATTTCTTGGTCATCTGGGTTCCTGTAATGCTCTTATTCTATAGTGCGTCCATATCCTTTGCCCATTTTACAAATAAATGGGTTAAGCGTTCTTTGTAAATTATGGAAATTAGGTCTTTGTTGTATATACTAAAAAGTTTTCCCAGTTTGTAATATTTTAACTTTGTAGGGTTTTTTGTTATACAGAGCTTTACGTTTTTATGCAATAATTTTTATAAATTGTTTTCATTATGTCTTGCTACACTCCATATTTAAGATTTTTGAATCCATCTAATAATTATTTTAGTGCGAGAAATGCAGTAAGAATCCACGTTTGTTTTGATTTCCAGCCTTGTTCTATCCTTTCGTCCTACACACGTTCTGAACAGTCTGCCATCTTCACTGTCTCCCGCTGGGTTTCCACGTGTGTTGTTCCGGGGTCAGACTTTTGCTCTATTAAGGCCTCCTATCGGCTCTCTCTGCGACCATGTGTGCATCTCCCACCCTGTGTTTCAGACTCCTCTTATTCTTTCATATTTCTTTCTCTAGATGAATTTGGTATCATTTTGTCAAATTTTTTAAAAAGTTTACTCTTGGCACTTTATTAAGAATGATTTGATTACATTCATTAAATTAGGGAAAATTCACAACCTTATAGTCTATGTTCTTATGATATTCAAGAACAAAGAACGTTTTTCCACTCACATTAATTGTCAATTGTCAGTAACTTTAAGGTTTTCTTCATATTATTTGTATCAGACCTATACCGAATGTTTTAAATTTGGGGACTGGTAGAGCAAGTGGGATATTTTCATCTACTTTCTAAGTCATTTTATTTCACATACAGAAAATATCTTCATATGCTTTTAGTAGTAACCTATGGCTTATTGAATTCTCTTTATTTTATAGTATTTTATAGTGTTTTATAAGGTTTTATAAGTATGCATTCATGTCATCTACACATGAAATTTGTGTCTTCTAACATTATATCTCTCATTTCTTTCTGCTATCTAATTTCATTGGCTAGTACCTCTAGAACAGTATTAATTAACAACAGAGATAGTAGGTGTCCTTATCTTAATCCTTACAGCAGTATAAAGAAGTGTTTCACTGGCTCGGCGCCTACAGCTCAACCGGCTAAGGCGCCAGCCACGTACACCTAAGGTGGCGGGTTCGAATC